TCTTGTACCCAATAACCCTTTCCCCCCCCTCTTCTCAGTTACCCTATCAAACTAGCCAGGCAGATATCTCAAGCTCCTAACACCATGCCTGGGCTATTCACCCACAATATGTGGGAAATTTTGTTTTTCAACCCACTTCCCTTCCCTCCTCCACTTTGCCTCAGATTCTCACTAACCCTTCTGTTTTCCTCAAGAGGTGGTGGCAGACACTTTTCTCCAATCCCTGGCTGCTCCACTCCTCTCTCCCAGCATCTGTATTTTGATGTTTTCTAGCAGTGAGAAGCTGCGGTGGATCTCCGCTCTTGCACCACCACAAGGAGAACCAGATCTCTTGGAAAGCCCTGGTGAGACTGCTTAGGCATTGTAGGGATGGGTGGGAGGACTTGCCTTGGGGGCAGAGTTATGAACCAGTAAGGAGGGAGATACTAAGGTAACATGGCCCTTGGTAACAAGTGACTCCCAAGAGGAGCATTCATCCTCCCCTTCACTTATTTTACAATCATCAAACTTGACACTCTTACCCCCCTTCCACACCCTCCCCCCCCCGTGATCTCCCAACGATGCCCTTCAGTCTGTACCTTTCCCATCCCCTCCACAGCCTTACCCCTAACAGGAGCACACTTCCACCTCCCCACTTTTCAGGTACTAGGCTGCACCCTAATTATGTCTCCTTCGCCCCTCAGGTGTTGTGCCTGCCCCTCTCTTTCTTCCTCCCTGGGAGAGAACATGATACCTCATACTTGGCAATCCCTCTCCCACCTCACACTCTGCACCCTTCTCTCACTTAGACTCACCTCAGGTTCAGTGCATACGGACATACAAAGCTCGGGAGAATGACGAACTGGCTCTGGAGAAAGCAGATATCATCATGGTCATGCAGAACAGCAATGATGGTGAGTGGAATCAGTGGTGATCTTCCTGGGTGGGAGGAAGAGGTGAGAACTGAGCTGTATTAGGGTATCTTTTTGATGACAGGTTCATCAGGCTATATTACGGATGGAAGGGGGCTCTCTTCTCAGAGAGTATCTTGCCCTTGCATATGAGACTGGGATGAGAGACTCCCTTGCCTGCATTTTATCTGGAGTCTCACTAAACAAATAGACTATGTGGCCTCTGGGCTGCAAGGGGCTCTTCTTTTGGCTGGTGTTTCGTTCCTTTGGAGTCTCACTAAACAAATAGACTATGTGGCCTCCGGGCTGCAAGGGGCTCGTCTTTTGGCTGGTGTTTTGTTCTTGCTTTTTCAGTTGGGATGGGGCTTTTTGGGGGGCTGGGATGAAAAGGAGAAATCTCAGTCAGTTTGTCCTATGCATTCTGTGTTTGCCTTCACCGCTGCAGGATGGATGGAAGGAGTGAAACTCTCAGATGGAGAGAGAGGTTGGTTTCCCTCTGAGCATGTGGAACTGATCTCCAGCAAACATGCACGCCAGATGAACCTAAAGGAGGAACAGCGTGTGAAGAATGCCAAACAGCAGGTCTTCTGCAAGAAATAGGACTCCACCGTGTTCCCTATAAGCTGTGTGCTTGGGTGGCCACCCAGGAGAGATTCAGATGCCAACCATTTGATTAGAAGAGCATCCACAGCTGGCATGTATTTCTACTGGTGGTGCACAACCACCCATGCCTTGGTGCACATAACAAAATGTATTCTACACATGGATGGAAAAAATTAGAGGGAACATTGCTCTCCACTTCCTGTTGCACCCTGTACAATCTCTTTGGCACGGAGAAACCTGATTAAGAAACCCTCTTTCTACCGCATACTGGAAAAAACAACTCTGCAGAAATAAAAAGAAATGAGCACTTAGTACTGTCAGACAAAGTGCTGCTACTAAAGAAAGCAGGAACTCAGCAAGGAGTAAATATGTTTACTTCTACTGCCTCTGTAGTCATGGTGAGACCAAGGAAGAAAAAGAAGCTGCATATACTGCTTGCTTTGTAATAGTAGGGAGGGAACATAAATAGAGCAGAGGATTGAGAGTCAGGAGTGTTGGCAATCTCTTTGCCTGACTTTGTCACTGACAAGATGTGTGACTTTGGGCAAGTCACGTCAGAACTCTGCCTCAGTTTCCCCATCTGTAAAACGGGGATAATACTTATCTACCTCACGGAATGTTGTGAGGCTAAATTCACTTGCATTTGTAAAGCGCTTTGAGTTCTTGAGAAGGAAGGCACTAAAGATGTACAAAGCACACTGTAGTTAAGGTTGAGAAGAGCTTTCCATTACAAACTCTTCTTAGGGTTCTTTAAGTGGTCTTAATTTCCACATATTTCCATTTAGGATTATATATAATGGGCCAAATTTTCTGTCTATGTTATTGGGTACAATTCCATTGACTTCACAACCTTTCTGCATTTTTATACCAGCTGAGTTTATCCCAGAATCTCAGCACAACAACTGATTTTAGTTAGTATGAGAAAAATCCATTTGAGTTATGTGAGCACGAGCAAAGACATGTTTCCCTCTAAAATGTTTTTCAGATTTTTTTGGCAAAAGTTTTAAAAATGATCAGTGATTTTTAGGAGGTCAACCTGAGATACTTTGAAGGAGCCTGATATTCAGGAAGTTCTGTTCTCCTGCCTTTGGAAAACACAATCAATCATTAGTCACTTTTGTGTCACCATCATTAGTCACTTTTGAAGGTCTTAACCAAGGTTTTGTCTTACAGGTTGGCACAGGCCCCGTACTTACATTTAAATGTTTAACACAGGAAAATGGAACCACACTGCATATACCTAATCTATTATAGCAGACATGATGCAACATTTTGCACAATTATAAATCATGAAGAAATCCATAGATTTTTTTGGGGGCAAAACATGTAACTGCAGATAGCTGAGGTTCCATTTCTGTGCTAAGTCATCAGGTGTTAAGTGTTTTATGTGCAGAATCTGTCCACTCGAGAAAATTGCTTCAACTGTAAAATACTTTTCCTTCTGTGTTAAAGGAAGGTTTTTGTCTGTAATTATGCTAAGACAATATCTAGGTTGAAAATTTAAACACACCCAAGTATGAAAGCAACACATTTAGCCTTCTTGCTTCTAATGTATTTGAAGAATTATTGACCCTTGTATCTCTGGATCTTTGTAATACATTTTTTGCCCTTTCGATTTACCATTTATATTGTATCTGGCCTAGTTTGTTCCAGCCTATTTATACCAGTCATTTGAGCTGGACTTACACTTAAAAAGTAAGTTTTTTTGACCTAATAAACTTATGCACTTCTCCAGTTAGGATATATAAGTGTACCTGTTCCGTTTCATCTAGTTTATCTATTCATAGAACCACAAGCTCTGATGCCTGTAATAGCTTCCAACATTTGAACATAACTCTCACCGCAAAAGACTAATTTTTCATATATGACTACCCTCAAGATTTCAGCTGGGAAAGATTTAGCTGTCTTCTCTGCATTGACAACTTTAATTATTTCTACAGCAGCCATGGCACAGAACATTACATGGTGAAGTTAAGACTGTCCCTGCAGTCTTCATATGAAATGCATCATCTGTCACCAATCATCCGTACACCTGGTGAGCTGGAAGCAGTGCCATTCTTACCCATATGCAGAATACACAGCTGCATAGGGCACTTGAAAATCTGGGACACCACTGGGTTCACCCACCTACCTCTTTCTATCCCTGTTCTGTGGCTCTGCTTCCTCTAGAAGCTAATTAACTTGAGTGAAAAAACCTGCCAGAGCTATTAGCAGAACATTGAACCTATGAAAGAGCCCTTCAAGTGGTAATGAAACCATGTAACAGGCATTTTGCCAATCCCAGGTATATACTGTCAGCTTCTGAATTTACTGTATTAGTCTACAGCCCAGGGTCTCCAACTCAATTTACCTTAGGGCCAGTGCCAGTCCTCAGATCCTCCTAGCAGGCCAGCAGACACCCCATTCTGGCAGCGGTCTCTATGTTCCTCCCTTCTCTTCCTGTGTGCCCCACCTGCCCATCTCCTAGACCCAGCTGCTGCCCCCACGTGATTTAACCTCCTTTCCCCAGGAGCTCTCACTGCCACTGCAGCAGGGCTAGAGTAGCTTCTGGCTGCTAGCTTTGCACCCATTGCTGGCATGTTCCTCTGGCCCAGGGCGGCGTGTTCAGATGTAATGCAACAAATAGAACCTGGAACCTCTGGAGCTTAATGCACGAGCCTCTATGGCAGGCTGTCAAGCAGACTCATTGTTCTCTCTGGAAGTGGTCTCAGGCGACTAGATGGGACAATACATCACACCCGGAAGATGTGTGGGTTACAGAGAGTAGGGATGTGAAGGACTAGTCAACCATCCAATATGCAAATGCTTATCAGATTCAACAGGATAGTCGACTAGTCGCTTCCCCCTCCTTGCTGCCTCTATCAGAAAGCAGCAGCACCACATGGAGCTTGGGACGCATTTCAAAGCAGCAATGCCGTGTAGAACCTGGGGTCAGTGGGGGAGTCCCCAGCTGATCCCCAACTCCACGGGGCACTGCCACTTTGAAATGCTGTGAGGAGCCTGACCCGGGCTCCCCATGGTGTTTCAAAGCAGCAGCACAACATGGATCCCAGAGTCTCCAGCTGACCCCGGGCTCCATGCGGCGCTTTCACCTTTGAAGTGTTAACAACAGCCCTAAAGCCATTGCTACACTTCAAAGGCGGAGGTGCCCTATCAACTAATGGAATAGTCAATTACAATTTAACATCTCTAACACAGAGCCATCCCATCCACAGGATGGCTTGAGACAGCCACCCTGGGCCTTGCACTTTGGTTGGAGTGGTTGCCGTGGGGTCTCTCCCATTCTATGGATGGGACAGTCTAACATACTCAGGTTAGCCTGCAGAACCCTAGGTGGGCTGGGGCCAGCAGCAAGGGTTGGGCCCCCAACACTCACCACAGCAGCAGGAGCCATGGTGAAGCAGAGCAACCAGGCTGGTCTGAGAGATGGCAGATGAGCAGAGCAGAGGTTGCTGGGTCGCTCTGCTTCCTCACAGCTTCTGCAGCCACAGTGAGTGCATGGTTGGGGCAGTGACCCCTGCTGCTGCTCTACACTAGGCTCCCCAGCAATCTCAAAATCTGCATGCCTCAGGAGACCGGGCTTGAGGGAAGGTGTTTAATGGGGAGAGGTGGGATGGGGGTGGGCTTGTGGGAAGTGTACAGACACATATACCCCCAAGACTCATGTTCCGGTAGCTGCCCACAGACTACATTGTGGAACTGCTCAGGCCATACATGGCCCGCAGGCTGTGAGTTTGAGACCTCTGGTCTACAGAAGCTTAGTTTCAAATACGCTTTAAAAATATTTTGTTAATGTGTTGCTGAAGATTATAGAAATCACATCTCTAAAAAATTGTCCCCCAGGCTGCCATTGAACATAGGGGGCACCCCTTTAGTAGTACTAAATAGGGCTGCATAAATCCTAAGGACAGCCCTTCCTAGGAGGATGACCTATTGAGAGAGGATATCTACCATACTGATACTGAAAGACAAGGTGGTTATGATGTCCTACTAGCCATGCAAAAGATTGGCCCACAGACTGTACAGTGCCTCCTTAGAGGAGAATGAAAACTGATCCTAGGTCCACTTTTAACAGCTGAAATTTAATACTTGGAAAGAAGGTAAAGGTAACAACTCCAGATTGGAGGAAGTGACAGACTAAGAAAGGTAATCCTCAGCCACCCTCCTAAACTCCCATCATAGTCCAAATACAAGATTCCAAGCTTCATGCATACGTGGTACAAATGAAAACTGGGACAAACTCATGGTTCTCATGAGTTCATCTTCCTAAATCACCATTATGGAGTGCACAATCTTTGAACGGTGATAAGTCTCTGGGGGTAACCGTGTTAGTCTTTGTTTTTGAAGATAATGAGGAGTAAAAGATTAACAGATTTGTAATCTGTTAATCTTTTACTCCTCATTATCTTCAAAAACAAAGACTAACAGATTTGCGTGGGTATTAGCTTTTGTGGTAAAATCCACTTTGCCTACATCTGATAAAGTGGGTTTTACCAGGAAAGCTTATGCCCAAATAAATGTTAGTCTTTCCTAGTTATAATCTTTGCATTACTCAAGCGAATAAGCCTGCATGAGAACTCTCATGTCAGAGAGGCAGTCTCAGATTCAGTGATGCAGTAAGGACACCACAGGTCTGTTTCTGAAGGGGGAACTTTGTAATAACATTGAGATTAGACCCATTATCCATCTAGAACACAACCTTAACAGTGATTAGTACTAGATACTTCAGAGGAAGTTACAAGAAATCCTGCAACAGGAAACTATCAAACAATCTTTCTATAGGGACAGTTCATGTATTACCTCTTGCAGGTAAACTGGCACAAACCTCTAAGCATAAGATTTACCCTATCTAAAAATAAATCTTAAAAAAAATCACTACTGAAACCGATGTTCTCATTAACTATATAAATTGATTTTTTTTTTTGTTGGTAACCTGCTAAATTCTTAGTCTCAATTCTATTGTGGCATTGAGTTCTATAGGCTTACTGTGCACCGGATTAATACAGATAAAGAGTATTTCCTTTTATCTATACGTCCTTCCAGTTGGACAAATGTTCCCTTGTTCTATTTCCTTTTATCTATACGTCCTTCCAATTGGACAAATGTTCCCTTGTTTTCCCTTGTTATTTTAGGAGAGACCGAGCACTTGTGTTTTTTGTTCCATTTCTACACCAATTGGTTTTATACATCTAAAATCAGCTGCAGAGTATTACAGCTTCTTTCCTAGCCATCTCTCAATGCACGAAAAAAAATAATCTGTAGAAAGTGGGACTGATAAGGCTTGCTGTATCATTCAGCCCAGTCTTTGTAACAGAAGCAATATCAGGGCCTCATCCAAAAGCAATGACGGACAGCAATAATTTGCTTCACCACTAAGGTTGCAATGAATGACCTGAACAGAAAGTGCAGGGTCACTGCCAGCGACTTCCCTATCATACAGAGACAGGAGCCCCAAAATACCACTGGGACAGATGGGCAAATAGGATCTATGAGAAGGCCCCAGCCCACTCTGTCTTTCCATTTCATTAGCAGAAATCAGAGACCTCTCTCACCAATGAGCCTACATCACCCCCCTCCCTCATCTAGTTGCTCAACTACATCATCTAGTTGCTCATCCATTTCTTTAAGTGCCAAGGGTGGGAAAGGCTCTAGACTTCCAGCAGCGTACAAGGCATCACAGATCTTTCCTCACCTTGCTGAGGACAAGCTCCTAGGTCTACAGATTGACACAGAGGTGCATTTTCATTGCTCCCCTCCTAGCCCCACCACCTCACTCCACCTTCAACTACCCAGTTCACCATCCCACCCAGCACACTGGGTTAGCCTGGCTAACTTGCCATGCCAATGGATTTCTCAGTCTCTCCCACCCTTCCCCTTTTCCTGGCCCCAAGCACTCTAGGCAGGTGCCAGAGGGCCCTGCTCTGTGCAGGGAAGACCAGCCATAGATGAGGTGAAGGGGTCACCGAAATTGCTGCGCCCCTGCGGGAAAGGCGTAAATCCAGCCTCCTCAGGGGCCAGGGAGGCAGCTCTCCCCTTGGCCCCCCACCTTGCCCCTTGCCTGGGGAGGCCTTTGAGGACCCGCTGCCTCGCTCCCTCAGCTTCTGGGCGGGTCCCAGCGGCCGCAGGTGAGTGTGATGAGCCTCCCAGCGCGGCGGCCCGAGGGGTTCACGCCCGCTGCTGCTGGACGCTAACACGGCGCCCCGCCACACGCCCGCGGGCTGGCTGGCGCCGAGGCGAAGCCCGCCCGGAGGATGGCGGGGGAGCAGCGCCAGCCCCAGGGCTCGGGTAAGCGCCGGGCGTCAAGGTGGAGCCGCGCGGGGCGCCGGGCTTAATGACTCCGGGGGAGGCGCCCGGCAATGGGCCTAATGAGCGCAGCCCCCGCGGGCTCTAACTAGCCCAGAACCTGCCCCGCTCCCAGCCCAGGCGGTAGCCAGTGCCCAGCGGGCCTGGAGCAAGCCCCGCTGCAGGGCAGCTCCCCAAGGGGCGGGTCAGGGCTGCTGGGAGGGGGCGAGTAATTGCTCATTAGCTTTCCTGCTCCTCAGCCATTGCCACGGCCCCAATAGCCCTGCCGGTCCCACTAGGCAGCACCCCCTTCGGCTCTGGCCTCCCCAGCTCAGCCCCAGGGGCAGGGAGGTGCCAGCATTAGCACAGCCTGGCTCCCCCAAATGGTTGCTGTAAAGGACCACAGGAGTGCAGAACACTGTGGTGGCGGCAGCTTCCACCAGTGTTTCTCAGCCAGTGGTACCAGTACCCTCAGGGGTACCCTCAGGGGTACTCCAGAGAAGTCTGGGGGGTACGTCAACACAACTGACATTGGGAGAAAACTGAATTTTTGTTTTAAGTTTTACAGCACTTTCTTATTTTTGTACTTTTTACACCCAAAAATTTCATCACTCACCTGCCTACGATTAAGTTGTTTAAACAAATACGTTGCAATGGTAGAAAAAAATGGTGTGTCTGAAAACTGTAGGTACTGGGGGTACTTAGAATATTTTTTAAAAAGGGGTACTTTATTTTTAAAAGGTTGAGAAATACTGGCTTACAATCTCAGGGACAGTTGAGCGCTCTGGGACGTCCCCAGGAGCTTTGCCATTGACCTCTGTGGGTACAGGGCCTGGTCCTAGCTGGTTACTAGTAATGCCACTAAACTAAAGCTCAGCTCCACCAAGGCATTTAGGTTCCCAGCCTCCAGAGCTGTGTCCCTTATGACTGGATGAAACAGAAACACGCTACTGTTCTCTTGGATTTCTAAAGAGTCTGTTTTGCCACTCTCCATAAGCTTGTCGCCCCTTTGCTTTCCTTCTTTCTTTCTCAGGTTGGTCCCTACAGCCCTTATTCTGGCTGTTTACTAGTCCTAAACTCTGTGGTCAGGTTATTCAGAGGTGGTGCATGTATGTGGAGAAGGGCCAAAGGGTTACGTGCTCCTCCCAAGTGCCAGCCAGCATCCCACCCGGCAAGGCTGGCAGCTGAGGCTGGGAGCCAGCAGGCAACCGCACGTGGGGCTGGGAAAGGAAGCCCTGGAGATTAGGAGCTGTGCCCTGCCCAGGATCCCACTTAACTGATCATTTGAGATTTTGAGCTCCCTGACTACTATCAGGGTCCATCTTTCTCACAAACCTTCCATTGTCAGTTAGGGCCCATATTGTCAATATGTCCCTGAAGTATATGTTTCCAGGCCCTTATAAAGAGCTGGTGATTGATTATCCTTCTCGTGATACACCTGAAAGTGAGATCCCCGCAGAGGGAAGAGCTTTCTCCCTGAAACATCTTCCCTCTTCCCATGAGCTTTCCTACCCAGGGACTGCCTACTCTTCAACTGGAACAGATAATGGGAGTAGCATTACTGTGTGCATTTGCTTCCTAGTATGTGAGGAGGAACAAGAACAAGGAGGGGAAGAGTCCCCACTGAGCACTGAACACTTCATTACGGATATGGTGCATGGCCCAGGGAACACCTTGCTATCAACTTTCCACACCGTGATTATAAAAGATGAGTCTGGGAGTATCCTGGAAACAGAAGACAGCGCTGATCCCTTAAAAGAAGAAGAGGGAGATGGAAACTATTGCATGGTGCAAGTGGCAGGGTCACCCACCCTGCACCCACCAGCCCTAGACTGCCAGCCTGGGACCGTCCTGGAAACCAGGGATGGCACTGATCCTGTAGAGGAGGAAGATGGAGGTGGAAACCACTGCTTGGTGCATGTATCTGGGTCACCCACACTGCACCCACCAGCCCTGGACTGCCAACTCAACTATACCACAATGTGTGGGCCACTGCCAGCTTTCTTTCGCAACATGAACTCTGTGTCCCAAGTCCCAGCAACTGAGTTTACCCAGGAGATCCCGGATCAGACACAGGAACGAGTTGAGGGGTATTACCCTGACAGCACAGAAAAAGAGGCCAAGAAACAAAAAATCCGTGGCAGCAGTGGTATGTGCTCCCCAAAGACATCCAGTGTTGCCCCAGGGGATTTTTACAGCCTGGCTCAGCTCCAGGATATGAATCTGAATCTTGGCCATGCAACCCGCAGATCAGCCAGGTGTGCAGCAGCCAGCACTGCAGGTCGGCAGTCCTACAGGGTTTCATTGCAGGAAACTGGAGGTGGTCAGGGTGTGTCCAAGGAGAAAAAAATGCCACCAGAGAACCCAGAAGAACCTCTGCTGCCTGTAAGGAAAAAAACACGCACCTTCTATAGTGCAGGTAAGAATTCAAAGATACTGCAACCACTGGCAGATAATGCCGTCCCCATCCTACCCAGCTGGGGAAACAGTAGCTCACAGAGACACTTCCCCTGAGGCCTTTCCCCACCATGGCATCCAGGGGCGGTGGCGGGGAGCATGCAGCCCCATGAGTGGGGGCAGCAGGTAAGTGCCTCAACCCCACCCCATCATGCCCAGTTCCTGCAGTGCCCTCCTTGTCCCAGCAAAATCTTTAATCCGGCATACCTTTGGAAACAGGACATGCTGGATTAAAGAGGTTCAGGTGTATCATGAGCAATGTAATTTGTTCTCATGCAGAAGATCTACGTTTAATGGGGTAATATATTTCTGTTTTGAAGATGTCGTTTTTATACCATTTTAAAAAAACTGTGAGTATTTTGAAAATCAAGTTTTCTCTCTTCCCCCTCCCCCTCCCCTGCCTCGGTTTCTTTCTTGCACTCTCTCCTACTGTCTGCATCATTCCTTCTCTTCTTCGCTCTTTCAACAACACCTCAATTCCAGAGCAGCTAGAGGAATTGGAGAGGATGTTCCAGGAAGACCATTACCCTGACAATGAAAAGAGGCGGGAGATTGCTGCTACTGTTGGTGTAACGCCACAGCGCATCATGGTGAGTGTCTCGTAGTTTTAGGCACCCATCAGAAGAGCAAGAGAAAATGTGCAATAGAGCCTCGAGGTATGTTGAGAGAGGAGAGAAATTCAGTCAGAAAAGAAGGGAGACTGTAGCTGCCAGTGATGTAAGGGGCAGGAAAATAACTCACAGGGAGAGATGGTGATGAAAAAAAATGGCAAGGGAGCCCGTGTTGATTTCACCCTCTCTTTTCCTGCTCCTTAATGCGTGCTCAGGTATTGCGAGTGGGAAGGGATGCAGATGACAGTAGGTCCCTAGCTCAGTCTCCTTGTCTTGAGCTGCTTGAAGAAGAATGGGGGGAGATGGATAAGGGGCAGGAAAATAACTCACAGGGAGAGATGGTGATGAAAAAAAATGGCAAGGGAGCCCGTGTTGATTTCACCCTCTCTTTTCCTGCTCCTTAATGCGTGCTCAGGTATTGCGAGTGGGAAGGGATGCAGATGACAGTAGGTCCCTAGCTCAGTCTCCTTGTCTTGAGCTGCTTGAAGAAGAATGGGGGGAGATGGATCTGCTGACATGTCCCCCTCTCCTGAGGGCGTTCAGGCAGGACAGGAAGTTGGGGAGGCTTTCTATAGATTTGTCTCTTCCTTTCTTCTCACTCGTCCTCAGGCCAGCCGATGGGGGAGGGGCTTTAAATTCCCATTGGAGCACCACAAGCAGCGCTGAGGGGGGAGGTGTGCCGAAGGACGGCTGCTCTCAGCCCCACCCCTTTTGAGAGCACGGGGCCAGTCCTCCCCACATTGCCCAGGAGCCCACCAAGGCTGTTGGCTCCACTGCTCTCATTTGCCCCCTGGATGGGCCAGCCGGATGCTTGCAATGGCATCGGGTGCAGGGGAGGTGCTGATTTCTGTTTCCCAGGGTAGACTGTGGGCATGATCTCTCTTCATTTCTGTCTGTGTCCCAAAGGGCTTAGGAGGCAGGGATGCAGAGGGTCTCCTCACCAAGTGTTTCTCTCCCTTTATCAGGTCTGGTTTCAGAATCGCAGAGCAAAGTGGCGAAAAATGGAGAAACTGGCAGTGAAAGGGAACAAGAAATGCCCAGCATCATCAACTTTGTCAGTTCCTTCGGGAGCAAGCACTTGTGGGTAGGGACCTACCCCCCTCTTTTCTCTTTGTTACTAAATTCCTACCCTCTCCAGTGCCCCATTTAATTGGAACCAAGATCCATGTGGGTAGCTGTAGCTTCTGCATCGTGCCAGCTGGCAGTGCTGTCCATTGGGAAGTGCAGGGTCTGGGACAACCCTACCCTTTGTTCCAGGCACTGCCTTTGCCTTGCTCCACTCCACCTCTTCCCCAACTCTATACCTGATCTGCCTCTCTCTCCCCCTACTTCGCCCTTTGCATCCCTTCCCCCAAACTCCCTCCCCCAAGCGATGCGGCCCAGGGAATTACCAGAGGAGGGGGGAAGCTGGCACCAGCAGCAAGAATGGTGCTTGCCCCTGCACTCACCACAGTGGTGGGAAAGGGAGTATCCAAGCCCCAGTCCTCTGGGACGGGTTGAGCACAACTCTCCAGTGCATTGCTTGGGGGAGTGGCCCAGGTTGTGCAGAGTGGGAAGCAGAGCAGCCTACCTTGGAGATGGCAGCTCAGAGCAGGCTGCCAGGTTGCTCTACTCTCCATGGCTCTTGCCATCAGGGTGAGTGCAGAGGTGGGCCTGGCCCCTGCTGCTGATACCAGGCTCCAAGTAATCCCCCAGGCCACCCTCATGCAGGGCTGGGGCAGCCACCCCAAACCTCCCTATTGACAGGATGGCTCTTCCAGCTGGTGAGAGACTTGGGACCCCTCTCTCATATCAAAAGCTGACTTGAATTGGAAGTGGAGTTTAATGCATAATGCTACCCTGAGGTTGTGGTTTATTAGCCTGTATTTCCAAGGAGAGTGTTGGAATCTCCATTGCTTACAATAGGGAGGGGATGAGATCAAAGAGAGATTTAGTAGATTTTTTCCCCATCATTAACGCCTGTGAGCATGTTGGCCTAGGCCCCTCATGTACTTTATTCTCCTCATAATTTAAGTGCTGTTGGGTCCATGGGGAATATATGGACTCTCTCACCCACTCCTCTTTTCCTTGCAGAAAATGAGACTCATTGGAGAAGTAGAAGTTGGAGTCTTTAGAAGGAAGGGTTTATGTGCAGGAGTGAAATGGGTGTATGGAAAGACTTTCCAGGTAGAAGAGGCTCCTCCAAACAAGAGGGTGGAAGGGAACATCTTTCAGAGGTAGAGACAGGTAGAAGGAGAGTTTAAAAAGTGGGTATTTCCGCATCAGGGTTTGTCTTGCTGTGCCCTCTCTCCTTTTTTTTTCTGCTCATATCTTTTACTTCTTTCTCCAGGCCATCTCTCCTGCCTATGCCTCCTTTGCCTGACATCATTCATGAGCAGTCTGCCATGCTCAACATGGATGCCACCGTGGGAAACTATCCTAACATGCTCAGTGGGCATCCTGCATCATTCGTCTCCTCATCAGGTGAAAGCCATTCATGGTTGTATCTCAGTAAGAGTTTGCATTTCTGTGTGGAATTGCTTGGTGGGTTTTTTGCTGCCTCCAGGATTTTGAATGCAGCTTAAGGAAAGTCACAAAGGAAACTGTGAAATGGATTGAAAAATACACCCCTGCACATGCCCTCTGTGTAGTGTGGCTTCTCAGCATTGTAACTGGGGTCACAGTCTGCTAAAGTTATTACTATTCCTTACCCGGGTCTGACCTCTATAGGACCAGAAATGAGCAGCCTCACTTCCTTTAATCCCAGTTTTCTCGAGGTGAGATACTGGCAGCGGTAGTGGTGTTTCCCTGAATGACCATGTCAGGTTGGTGCTAATTGTTCATGCTACTGTGGAAGATATACACACCACCTGTAGGTGTAAACTATAGGATAGAGATAGGGATAGGGCCACCGCCTTGCCATTGTCCTACCCCATCCGTACCCCCTGTAGAGTTACTACTATTACTGTTGGCTTCAGACTTCACTGGGTCACTGTGCACTGACAGCCTAAGGACCAGGATTATGCTTGGGCCAGAGGGACAGAAATAGATGAGACTGAAGATCTTTATTTAAAATCAATGAGGAGTCCTGTGGCACCTTGAAGGCTAACAAATTTATTTGGGCATATGCTTTCCTAGACTGCAGCCCACTTCATCAGATGCATTAAATGGAAAATTTGGTTTGGCAGGGATACCCTCACATGCAAAGATGGGAGTGTTACATTACTATGTGGAGGACCAGTGCTCCACATGTGAGTGTACCCCTTCCAAACCAAATTTTCCATTTAATGCATCAGACGAAGTGGGCTGCAGTCCATGAAAACTTATGCCCAAATACATTTATTAGCAGGGGCGGCCCATCCATATAGGCGAACTAGGCGGTCACCTATGGCGCCAGGTTAATTGGGGTGCCATGGGGCATCAAATGGTGGCTCAATATCCTTGAGGAGTTTGGAGGTGGGGGCGCCAATTGCATGGTTTGCCTAGGGTGCCAGTTGCTGGCAGCTAGTCTAGAGCTGCTCCTGTTGGTTAGCCTTTAAGGTGCCACAGGACTCCTCATTGTGTTTGCTGAAACAGAGTAACATGGCTACCCCTCTGGTTCTCTGAAGAAGTGGCTCTGCCCCACGAAAGTTCATCACCTAATAAACCATCTTGTTAGTCTTTAAAGTGCTACATGACTGCTTTTTTTGTTTTACCTCTAGTTGTTATTTAACTTCTGTTGCAATATCATTGGAAGTCAGTAGGGTGTGATCTTGGACAAGCTTTCTACCTGAGATGCTGCTAGTCTTGGGAGAATCATAGAAAGCAAGAGAAAAGACTTGGAAGATTTTATATTTCATGTCTTAGGAGCCAGTACATCTCATGGAATCAGGATTTGTCTTTATGGCACATTTCTCAGTACCGGAGGCCTCCGACTTGTGAAGCGATCCATTCCTGGGGAAGTGTAGCAAGCTGGGGGCGTTGTAACACGAGCCCTCATCTATGATGGGAACTGTGCACCATCGTAAATGCAGGCCAAGGACGTACGTTGGGGGTTTCTGGCCCCTTTTACACATATGGTTGTAAGTGTGTGGAGTCAGAACTCGGGGTTGCATGTCAGGGGCCTCCTGTATTTACTTCAGATGATATTTTCTCCACTTCTTTAGGGAAAGTAAACCATACTAATAAATCTGATTTGTAGCAAGTGGTTTTCTGATATTTAGCCTAAATTGCCTTTTCATTAATTTCATATGCTTAGTTATAACCCTTTGTACCATTCTAACTGTTTATTCCACACCAAAATATTTTTGATTCATAAATACTCAATAAAAATGTATTTATAAGTTTACTCAGTTTTTGTAATCAAATATATAAGCTAAAAATAAAGTACTAAAATTAAATATATTGCAAATAGTATACTATAGTATTTGACGTCTGTCACTTAGATATGTCTGTGAGATGTAGTCCAGAAGTTAGGACTGTTTATGAGTAGATTCTACAAGCTTTATAACTGAAGTGTCTTTAAATCTATTAGTTGATTCCAATATTTGCACCTTTTGTTGCAGCTATACCAACATTGTCAAGGTATTTGAATAAACCATTGCTTCCCAGAATGATGCTGTACCATAACTGATGAGTCCTGCACTTGGTGAAATAAGCTCAAAGTGCTGGATGTTGCAAAAGTGGCCATTTACTGAAAGAAAACAAGCAAACAAAATATTCTGGAAGACCTGTAATTGTCTATGGATGAGCTCCAGGATCCATAGCGGTTCACAACATATTTCCAGTGGAGGAAACCTCTGCTCTAGTGTCTGAGTTGAGCCCAACCATTTCCCTTTCCACCTTCCATCCAACTATAGCAAGTTATCTAGCCTTCCTGAGTGCTTTTCCTCTCAGAAACCTGTATACCTGGACATGCACCCTTCCTTGACTATAGATTTCCCTCAAAGTGCAATACTCATAAAGAAACTTAAAATATATAAGGGCCTACCCAAATTCTTCATGTGCTGTTTGTGGCAAAAGAAAAGAGGAATTCCTGCCCATTCACTCTTTAGTGTTCTATTCTCAGGGATCCTAAAATCAAAGAATAAATACAGTAGAGTTCTACTTCCCTGCCCAAAACTGCATGCTCTGGAATTTGCTGTCTACCATCAGCATTGCATCCTCTGCGTGTACATTGAGCTCTCATCAAATTTGACTTTCACAGATACCTGTGCAAACCCAGTGACTTCAGTGGCATCTGCACACATCATGATTGGAATTGGATGTACATAGTGAAACAGACTCCAGTGTCCTCTCTCTTAGCTGTGTTAGTTCTGCAGGCCTCAGAGGAGCAAACAGCAGAGAAAAGTATTTTTGTCCACTAATGACAGCAAATATGAGCCTTAAAGCACCCAGGAAACCGATCTATTCAGTAAGAAGATGCCATTTTTCACAATGTCTTTTTCCAGGAAAGAACCACACTTTGACTGTACAGTGTTTTTAAATAAAGCGTCAACAGGGCTGAATCTTTGGTGAATGAGAATTAGAAAACTAAGTGGAAAGAAAAATAAATCATCTGTTTTTTACATCAGCTTTCTTCTCGAAGAAGACAACCTACCAACAAAATTGAAACAAGTTAAAGCTGTGGAGCCTCTTCTTGGCATCATTAGAAGATATAAAGAAAATGTTGGAAGAGATCAATAGAATAGGATGGAATCCAGAATAATGGGACTGAATGAAATGAGTGGCAAAGCCAATTAATTACAAGGGCAAAAGTGATTCTAAAGAATAGGCTCAGTGAAAGCAACACAGAGAAAGTAAAACAAACAAAAAAAATTCTTTCAGCAAGTGGTAAATTCCAGCAAAAGTAATCTAAACAACTAACTACCAACTTATGCCATTAGAGAATGCAATATGAACATATAATATTTGCCTCTCTGATACAGAGGATGGGTTGTATGCATGTATAATAGTGTACCTCATTATTGTCCTTGTGTGAGCAAAACAGGTACTTGGTTGTACAAGTAACAGATTATCGATATGTGTGTAAATACCTGTCTGTGGCAATTCTACAAGCAAATTAGGCATAGGCAATCGCAACATCCAGTTTTGCAATGGTCCTGGGCTTCTGGTAGTTTGAATATCAGGCCTTTGTTGTGATGGCCACCACAAAAAGAGAAGAAAAGTTCTAAAATGCACATTTGCCTACACCATTTAATTGGTTCCAGAACACAAAGATTTCATTTCTGATACTAAAGAGAGACTTTCCAAGTCTACAATGAGAGAGAACTGGCTGGGTCTGGAAAATTCTATAGGCACTATCAGAGATATTCTTAGGGCTCAGTCCTGAAACCCAAAGAGACAGCTCAGTGAAGGATTAAAGAACAGCAAGAAAACTGGTCGACATGGTGGGTTTTTAAGTTCTATAGTCCCCTCAGGGCAAGTAAGACTGTGTAAAGAGTTCTGCACTGCTCCAAAACTGGGCTATGTTAAAAGGCATAACTGAGCCCTAAGAATAAGAATTAATGTGTATTCTTGCAGTGGTGGAATGAAATGAAAAGCTGGAACTACAGAGAAAGTGGTAGAAATAACATTTATGTTTGGAGCCTTTTCCAAGCTGGCATTCTGGAATCTGTTTCCGATAGCACTGATAAGCAGCATGTTGGCCTGGACAAGGTTGCCAATAATGCTTAGAGAAAGAATTTCTGTCCCAGAAAACTCTTGTGTTTAGCATCACGCATTTTGTGTAAGTGAATGCTTAGTGCTAAGCCAGTGCTTAGCTCAGCCCCAAGAGCTAAACTGAACTATAAGGCAATAGTGCTTTTGTTTATTATCTCTGCCTTTCTACTGTCTGGCCTTTTTTCACTCCCACCATATTGTCCATCCCATGGGACTCCACACCTCTGGCTGGTGAGCCTGGCTCACTGCCCTACTTCTCACTGCTCTTCCACACTCCCTGCTTTCTCCATTTGGCCTGTTTATGACACAATCTCTTGCTTTTTTATTTACAGTCTCTTCGGTAACTGGAGCGGTGACGTGTTGTGAGGCAGGTCAGACAAAGGCACTATCCCAGGGCAGCTTTGGTCCCAACAGAATGGAGTGCTTCCCCGCAATGCCCAGCCCTCCGCCCATTCGCAGGACCAGCCTCCCTCTCAATATGACCTTCAACCCAAACAATCACATTGTTCCATTGATGCTGGACACTCCTAACAGTGAATGCAGCCCCTCCAGTCAGGACAGCATCTCCAGGGAAGTCCTCGCTTACAGCTTCCAGAGTCAAGGGTATGGGCAATGAGATGTTCTTCAAGAGAGAGATGGGGAAAGCAAACTTTAGAGGGGTTGGTCTGGGAAACCAAGAGCACTGGAGACTGCTAGAGGACAGAAATCA